AAGCATCTCTGCCAACTCTGGCACTGAAATCAACAAGGAGCAAATCCTTATCATCTCTGGGGGATAGAGGTTAGTATGTAGTGGATTCCTACCCTACAAGCACCGAACCTTCTCGAATTCCCCAGCCTACGCCTCCAGCGCCGCCCACGGAGCGGGGGTCAACTATCTACCCACGCCTACCCCCGCCTTATAAGGCCTGACACCGCTGTGACCAGCCTCTTTCTACACAGTGCCACCAGCAAACAACACCTCCTCCTCCGCGCCAGCCGTGCGGCTGCCGCTCCCGCCAGCGACCTTGGCGTCCCTCAAGCCGCGTGCCCTCACTCTGGGCACCCTCACCACCCAGCTCTCTCTACTCAACGCTTATTACCATGCTGCCTACCCAGCAACAAGCTGCATTGTACATCCAATACAATATGTATACAGTGAGCACATTGTGAGTTTCCTTTCTCCATCCCATCCTGAGTGTGAACTAATATCTCACAACCCCACAAATGGTGACCCCGGAGATTCGCACTCACACAGGATGGAGGAGAAACTGATCACTCTCCCAGTCTTCAAGCAACATGGAAGACTAGCTTACCCACGCAGAGGCAGCTCTCATCGGCTCTACAACTACTGTCTCTACACCGCAGGTTAGACACCCTAGAGCAGCTCTGCTACTCTAAGCAGACAGCCGCTCCTCTTCCTGCCCCAAGCACCACGCCCTACCGACCCCAACACACCCGTCCTGCCTCAGACGCCACCCCCGGCCCAGCAGTACCCCCTGCCGCTCCTCCTGACGCGGCCCCTGCTCCGGACGCGGACCCACACACCCCTCTTTTCTCCCTCAGGTACCCCCAGCTACTGCCCTGCACCCTGCTGCTGTCGTGGACCCTGCTGATGTCATGCACCTTGCTGCTGTCATGGACACTCTTCCTAACGCAGCCCCTGCTCCTGACCCAGACCCACACACCCCAGCAGGCGCATCTGAGGACTCTGTACCTGTCGCGAGGAATGCACAACATTCATCACCTCCACAACCCTCCTTCTTGCCCTTTTCTCCCACAGATCTCGTGTATCTAGACAGAGTTGCCCCCCCTAGCGGCCGGCTCATCCACGCCCGCGCCGTTATGCCTCACATGTGACATGCACCGCCTGTTCTGCCTTACACGTGGCACACAACCCTGCCATCCTCCAGCCTCCCGCCGCGCCCGGAGGGGAAGCGGAGTATTGTAGTGGATTCCTCCCCTACAAGCACCGAACCTTCTCGAATTCCCCAGTCTACGCCTCTAGCGCCGCCCACGGAGCGGGGGTCAACTATCTACCCACGCCTACCCCCGCCTTATAAGGCCTGACACCGCTGTGACCAGCCTCTTTCTACACAGTGCCACCAGCAAGCAACACCTCCTCCTCCGCGCCAGCCGTGCGGCTGCCGCTCCCGCCATCGATCTTGGCGTCCCTCAAGCCGTGTGTCCTCACTCTGGGCACCCTCACCTCCCAGCTCTCTCTCCTTAACGCTTATTACCATGCTACCTACCTAGCAACAAGCTGCATTGTACATCCAATACAATAAGTATACAGTGAGCACATTGTGAGTTTCCTTTCTCCATCCCATCCTGAGTGTGAACTAATATCTCACAACCCCACAAGTACTCTGTCAAGGTCGGCTTAAAAGGCCTCTTTGATGTCATCTTCTGCATCCAGTGTTGGGGCATATGCACTGATGATAACAGGCATGACGTGAGTGATTTAGTTGGACCCTGAGCATCATGAGGCACCCGTTGATCCCAACAGGCATTTCAGTAAGCCTGTGTAGGATGCGTTGGTAGATGGCAAAGCCAACTCCATAAATGCGGCTTCTCTCCGCAGCAGACTTACCCTTCCAGAAGAAGGTATAGCCTGACCCCAGTTCTGTGAGTCGACCCTCGTCTGGGAGCCGGGAATCACTAATGTCTGCTATGTCGATGATATGCCTAGCCAGCTCTTTTGCTACATGGGCGGTTCTTCTTTCAGAACGCTCATTTGTGCCAGTATCTAGAAGGGTCCTGACATTCCACGCAGCAACCATAAGAGGTTGTATTGTTTGTTTTTGTTTTGATGTGTGATTATGATTGTGTTTTTGACCGCCTAAGGATGACCTTACTGGGTGCGGTTGCCCAGTCAGGTTGTTTCTTTAGGCAGGCTATGTTTAGGGCACCTTTTCTATCCCCTTCCCCATGTGGGGTGAGCAGAGTGGCTCCTCAAAAGGGCTGCTCAGTTGCACATACAGTACCGGATTGTACTGCTACCTAGATCATAGTGCATAAAAGACTGTTTTATCTGTGCCGCCCATGTGCAGCGCTATGACTAGAGACTCCCGACAGTCATCTCTTCCTGTCCCCGCCGTCACTTGTCCGTCGCCATAGGACTTTTGGGGGTATAGGGGTTTTGATGATGATGAGAGGTATGATGAGCTGGATGATGGCTGAGCTTGAGTTGATTTATGTGATGAGGCAGGAGTACAGGCTGCAACCACACATCCTGACTCTCTTTTTTCCTGATCGAGTGGTGCAAGTGTTCCAACGACTGGGGAGAGGGAGAGTTGCAATGGACTGCCGATAGCCCGGTTTGTTGGGTTTCGCCTTAGTAGCCTGTCCATCATGCACTGCCTTCGTCTCCCGGTGTAGTCGTTGGGTTCCTATGGTGGTCACCTGTTCCACCTACAGTATACCGCCATTGGGGTTTTATTGGAGCTCTCTAAGCATATCTGCCTGCTGCGTGGCAGCGGGGCATTGGTTCGTAGGCGCCAGGACATGTCCATATGTCAGTGGGTCTATACACCATCCCTCTGGGGCCCACTGCTACTCTGAGATCCCCTGCTGGTCTAGCCTGGGCCCACGAGGCACCCATTTACCGTGTGTTGCCACGAGGAGACACAGCAAGAGTCTTGATGGTGAAGAGGCAGGGGAAGACATGCAAGTTGCTTCCGTGTTCGCCGAGGGCTAGCCAGCGGCGGGAGCTGAGAGCGAGAGGAAGCAAGCAATGCTTGCAACTTAACACTAACATAATACTGCCACACTAGACGCATTACACCACTCTGTGTGCGCACACACACACACACACACACACACACACACACACATAAAAATACACATACACACACACACACATACACGCACACACTCACTCACTCACTCACTCACTCACTCACTTACTAACTCACTCACACAGTGTTATTTTGTGAGTGTTTTTGTGGCACTGTGGTTACTTGATTGCATTACTAGCGGGATCGCCGTCCACCGGGCGGCTCTTTCGCTAGGCCACGGTAGAACGCCACCCTCCGGGAGGCTCCACATTGTCTCACTGTAGTGCATTAAGGTAGACCACATTTTTTATTTTGCCATTAGCAGCAAGTATGTACAGATTTTTGCCAGTTCCAACTCTGGAGCATCCAACATAGAACTGTCCATGAGAGAAGCAAGGAAACACCAGGTTTAGGCCAACCATCTTTAGGAACTGTCCCTGGCTTTTGTAGATGGTCATGGCAAAGCTCACTTTAACCAGGAACTGAACTCGCTTGAACTCAAATGGCAGGTCAGTGGTGATGAGAGGTATCCTAGGTATAAAAATGTCCTCTCCTTTAGCTTTTCCTGTCAGTATTGTAGCTTCCAGTACATGTGGCATCATGATCTTCACCACCAGTCTTGTGTCATTGCAGAAGATTGGTGGTTCAAGATTTCTTAAGAGCATTATAGGAGTTCCAATCTTGAGAGTGAGGTGGTGAGGAGGCATTTCAGCGGTCTCCAAAGAATTAAAGAATTCTGCAGGGTACTGGACTGCTTGGTCCTGGTCGATTACTGTATCAAGAGATTTGAATGAGGTCTCACTGCCTGGAAGCTGTCTGAGTAGAGTCATGTTGATTTCAGCCACTGTTTCATTCTTTGGTGCCAGAATTGCGTATTCACGCAGCCACTTGTGATCCTTGTAGTGGTGGATAATGTTTGGGTAGACCATGTTAGTGAGCTCAGTTGAGGACTTTACAACATTTCCACATCCTTGAGGAATGATTATTTGTCCTTCTGAATCAACAGGGAAAGTTCCATTCCCAATCAGTAGTAGGAAGTTTGCAAACCGCCCAGCATCCTGATCTCCTTGTAGATGTACTCTCATGTTTGTGGATAGGGTGACTGTCTGAACACTTCTCCAAAGGTATGATGCCCTGAAGCACGCATTCAGTTCATCAGCTGTAGTGCTTCGAGGAATGACAGGTAGGGTCTGGCGAAAGTCTCCAGCAATGACCATTGTAATGCCACCCATGAGATGGTCATTTTCTCGTATGTCATGCAAGGTCCTGTCCAATGCTTTAAACGCTAACTTGTGAGACATAGTACATTCATCCCAGACTATGAGGCTGCATTTTTGTAAGAGTTTTGCCCTTGCCGATCCTTTTTTGATGTTGCGCACTGGATTCTCATTGTGAGCGAGGTTGAGAGGCAGTTTAAAAGTTGAGTGTGCAGTACGTCCTCCTTCTAGTAGTGTCGTAGCAATGCCTGAGGATGCCACAGCAAGAGCAATTTTCCCCTGATGACGTACTTTGGCCAACAGAAGGTTGATCAGGAATGTTTTTCCTGTCCCGCCAGGAGCATCGAGAAAGATCATACCTCCCTGCTCCGCTTGTATCTCTTGCAAGATCTGTTCATAAGCATTTGCTTGATCAGGCACCAGGTGAGGCTCAATTTCTTCAAGAAAATTCACCAGAACTTCAACTGAGTAGTCTGTCTCTCTGAGCAACTCCCTGTTTGCAACTACTGGTTCTTCTCGGCTTGGGGAAGGCAATCCAAAATCAGTCATGTTTTTTCCGCATAGCTCCATCACTTTGTCTTCCAGCATGATCATATTTTGTATGTTTAAATAAATTATCTTACTTCTTTATATGATTTTAAATAATTTTGTAAATTTTACCATAAGGGTTAATTCACTTATCTGACTGTACTATGTTAACATCAAATTCTCGTGACAGACTCACAAAAAGTACTGACCTGCCTGTTCTACTACATAGATAGTATAATCAATCTGTTGACGCTGAAGTATTGGATGTGTATGATTCAGGAATAAAGCCAGGTGTGTCTCTCTGTTTCTGTATGGGATGATGATGGCAACCTTGTGTCGAGCTCGGCACTCAGCTGGTGTGTAGTGACCTCCTAACTCAAGTTCTGGGTGGTTGTGTTCCTGTTCTTGAAGGGTTGGTGATGTGCGCTGCACCTTAAGACGACCCCCTGTAGATACAGGAAATGATTTGAGAAAGTTAATTAAATAATATACACAAAAAGTATTATGGAATAAGACAATAGTGTTTTCTTGCTACTGTACACTTGATGGCTTGAAGTCCACCAAGATGATTATGGCCAAGTATCTTTAACTGTTCTCCTACCCCACTCATATCATAGTGACCCTTCCTTTCTGTCCAATTACCATAACCATAAGATGCTAGAGGGATCATAGTCTGATTAGGGATATCCTTAACACAGGAGTGCTCCTGGGTCATCAACCGCCCTCTGCTATTTTGTTTTATTTTTGACATTGCAAGAACCCCTTAATTACCCCAAAAATTAAAGACAACTTCATATACAGATGAGGATGATCTTCATAACACTCTCTCTTATTCCCTGTCACATCATGCCTCTACCCCTTCATCTTCCTAAAGAACAAATAAACACAATTTTCACGCGTGACTTCGTCTGAGTTTTGATAATAGTACCATACTATACTATAGTAAGAGCTAACGAGAATAGCTGTTTTAACCTAAGAGCGATTCTAGTAAGGCTATTGTGAAGTGCATTATCAAGGTGAAAGATAGATCAATTTGCAATGGCAAGCTCTTTTAAAAGTGTTTAAGAAACTTTTCTGTGAAAACATAATTTTGTAATCTAAAAATATCTAAAACTCGTATACTGTTCACGTCCAAGGATTTTGGACTGGAGATCATGTACTGTATATATTACAGTGCATGCAAATTTTGCAACCTAAAATGTTACTAATATCTCGGCTCAATGGACCTTGGGGCCAAAAAATCAAAATATCAGGAACAATATTTTTCATTGGTAGTTTCGAGAATCAGGAAAACACAAGAAATTTTAGAAAATGTACATAAATATGTGACTTACTGAGGTTAGGTGGAGTAACAGGACAAAGAGCTTTACTTTGTGTGCGAGCACCACTATCAATTCCACTAGGTAAAGCCGCAATGTCACCAAGAAGAGTATGTGATTGTTCGAAGCCATTGTCCATTTCACAAGAATCGGAAATCTTGTAAAGTGCCGTTTCTTTTTCTTTGCTAATTGCAACAGTCATATCAGGTTTTTCTTTGTTAGTAATGGACAATTCTTCTTGATGGCCCCACGGAGGTAGCTTAGACACTGAAGAAGGTAAATCATGCACATTCATCGTTTCACCTATGTTTTTTATTGTTTCGTTTGAAGGATTAAATTTATTTTCCTTGGACAATTTAATGCCAGTTTTAAATTTCCATAGTTCTTTACCTACTCTGGATGCACTCTTTCTTGTGGGTTTGGTGGTATGGTTGGTAAAGTCTGAGTACAAGGACTTAGTTGCAATACCTGGCATCTCTGGCATGGAGTGAACCCGGGGTGCTTTAACATTACCTGGCATCTCTGGCATAGAGTGAGCCCGGGGTATTTCAAGATTCAACCAATTAGCCTGTAAATTAGATGTATAATAAAATCAGGTATTTCTGTAAGTGCTTGAATGTTGAAAATGTAATATAAAATTGTTATTTCTAGCAAAATATACAGTACTAATGTAAGTGACCAGTGGAACACTCATCACAACTGAAGTGACACGCTCTTTCTATGATACGTCAACTGGTCAAATAAATCTAAGTACAACAGAATAAGTGATACTGTTAATGGGTAAATGAACAAACAAATGAAGTACACATCTTCCAAGTAGCTAACTACAGTAACAGAAACTGCCTGAGAAATCATTGATGAAATACATTATTTGCTGCAGCTTAATTGGAATTAATTAATTAGTATATGGTAAAATTTGCTCTGCGGTATTTCATTTAAGAATTATACCTAAAGTAGGTTAGATTAAGGATGAAGTTATTCATATATATGCTGTATCATCATTTACAACAGGGGTTCTCAGCCTGGGGAAACGCGGGGAATCTTAAGGGGTACGTGACTGGGCCTTGAAAACATAACCTTTCTTTGTTTATATACAATTTTCGAACGGGTACTATGGCTTGTTCACTCGAACATTGCATCTGAGGCCTAGGTTCAGTTTGTAGCAAAGTAGCTGATTGACTAGCGGACAGACATTAGAAAGTTATTATAGTTCTTTGGTTTTTAATCTATTGTATTTATATTTTGACATTTTAAAGCATAATAACTATTATTTCCGCACTCTTGCGATATTTTTTATTACCAGAGCGTTTTACATGCTAATTTGTGCTTCCCCAAGTGCGGAAATTACCAGAGTTCAACATAGAAATATTATTATCCCTTAAAATATTAGACTACTAATGCGAAGAAATGTAAGTTGTTCGTCCGCTAGCTAATCAGCTACAACCTGAACCTAGGCCGCAGTTGCAGACTACGAGTTAACAGAAGACTACAGTAATGTTTAGCAGTGTTCAGATGGGCGTGTTGCATTGCATTGTTGTGTTGCAATGTGAAGGAACAAAAGAAAAGGATCAATATTAATCATAGTTCAATACTAAGGAACTTATAAGTTGTGAGAGTAAATCTTAAAGCTTAAGGATAGTGAAGTAATCTTAAACATCTGTTGTTAATACAATTGATGAAGAATTAACACTAACTCACCTAATATATTTCAATCAAATATCATACGAATATATTTCATGGAACTAACACAATTTTCACTCTTTCTTTAACCATTTCAAAATGGGCAGGAGTAATCTCTCAGTTATTCTAACACACCAAATATACTGAACAGAGGAAAAATTTTAGATTCGGTCATCCCTGTATTTAGATATAACCTACCCTAACCAACCTAACCTAACCAACCTAACCTAACCAAATGTAACCTAATCTCACCTCACCTAACTTAACCTAACCTAACCAGCCTAACCTAACCTGGCCACAGAACCCAGGAACTATTCTAATCTCACCGGGGTGATTCGCCCTCCCAGACTCCCCCTAAGATTCCCCGGATGACCGAAAATAAGATACTACCTATTCATTACCTATTTTACACTACAAATATCTTTTCCCACAGAATTCAGGAGGTTGAACATTGAGCTCATAAAATAAAGCGAGTGGTCACCCAAAAGAGAGTATGACCGGCCCCGAAAATTATTACTGTGTAGGTCTATACTTGTTGATAAATTATATTTGTGGTCTAGTAATTGTGGATATAATATTTAAGAAGCGCAGAGTAGTATAATGCATCTGATTTTAAGTAGAGAGGATCACGGTTAATCATATAAATAACTATTTGTTTAAGTTCTTCGATATTGAATAAATCACGTTTTGGGGTTGGGGTACGTGATCAATGCTAAAAGGGCTCAAAGGGTAGAGGAGAAGATATTTTTGAAAACCCCTTAACTACATGATCGTATATGACCAGTCAGAAGTTTAAAAACATAAATGAATAAAAATACATTGGCGTCAATGCTATTTCTCATTTATCCTCATTTAGCTTAAAACACACACACACACACACACACATATCCTTACCGATTCCATTACCACCGAAATATAGTGTTCCTATTAAACAATATATATATGTAGGTAGTAGGTAGTAGGCAGCTACCAAACAGGGAGGTACTACCGCCTGGGAAGATATTGGAAGCATAATGTGTTGTCTAATGGTAGACCCTGCTGCCATATGGCATCACGAAAATTGTGACCAGTCCCAGGTTGCTGATCTGACTTTCTGCCTCATTTACACACAATTGCAGGGTCTCAATTGTTCATCTTACTATTGACAACACAACATGCATATATTGTTTCTCACTCATGATTTATTTTTTTCGTTTGTGTATTTATTTATGATTATTATTATTAGTATTTTTGTTATAATTTCTATATTTTTTATTAATTAATATTAATTATATTTATTATTATTATTATTATTATTATTATTATTATTATTATTATTATTATTATTATTAATATTACTATTATTACTATTATTATTATTATAATTAAAATTATTATTATTATTAATAATAATAATAATGATAATAATATTATTATTATTATTATTATTATTATTATTATTACTATTATTACTATTATTATTATTATAATTAAAATTATTATTATTATTATTAATAATAATAATATTATTATTATTATTATTATTATTATTATTATTATTATTATTATTATTATTATTATTATTATTATTATTATTATTATTATTATTATTATTATTATTATTATTATTATTATTATTATTATTATTATTATTATTATTATTATTATTATTATTATTATTATTATTACTAATATTATCATTATTATTATTATTATTATTATTATTATTATTATTATATTTTCAAGCCCCCCAGGCCTTGATGGGCTGCGACTCCGTGCCAGGTGACTAATCTCGTAAAAAAAAGATATATATATATATATATATATATATATATATATATATATATATATATATATATATATATATATATATTGTTTAACAGGAACACTATACTTTGGTGGTAATTTAATCGGTGAGGATACGTGATGTTACGAATGGTCTGTTTTCTTAAGTTTTATAAAAACATTTCATTTCTACTCTTGAAAAGAAATCCGATGGCTAAACAAGAAAGCCTATATTTTAAATATAAGTAATAGTTGGCCTCCTGAAGAAAATCTGAATTATGCTTGATTTTAGTTAGAACGAACAACAGAGTGATATATGCATAACTAGAAGTTCTTTCTAACATAAGAAATACTATAGGTGTCACTTCTTAGGCATATTAAGTAATTCTGTTCTTGCTCTGCCATTGATTTTGCATTTTTTTAATTAAAATATATTCTACTGAAAGTCACAAAGTAAATAAAAGAATATTAACTGCTGGTTACTTACCCAAGACCCAGATGGCATTGCTCCTAGAGAAGTGACGTTCACTTGCATAAGAGACTCATATCTGAGGGGAAAGTAGAAAATATGGAAGGCCTGCAGCACTGTCAGCAACACCAAGACAGCCATTAACATACGGAACCTTGACCTACTGGAGCTTACAACCCTCACCGTCCTCATAGTCCAGGTACCCACCTGAAAAATTATATATAAATCACATACATATATTCAGTACAAGACACCGAATGCGTCACTGATAAAGGTACTGTAATACAGGGAAATATGCAAACCGATATAATTCGAATTTAGTGAATAGTATTATCACTCACGTGATAAAATTGTAGATACTCTCTCTCTCTCTCTCTCTCTCTCTCTCTCTCTCTCTCTCTCTCTCTCTCTCAATTCTGATATCTCCTCCACATTATCTGTTTTAAGTTCGTGAGTTTGTGATTGCCATGATAGTCGACTTTCTCTGTGATTCAGTTTAAGCTGCGGTCACACTAGACTATATGTTATATGTAGTGATGATGGATGTTGTTATATGTAGTGATGATGGATGTTGTTATATGTAGTGATGATGGGTGGTGTTATATGTAGTGATGATGGATGGTGTTATATGGAGTGGTGATGGATGGTGTTATATGTAGTGATGATGCATGATATTATATGTAGTGATGATGGATGGTGTTGTATGTACTGATGATGGATGGTGTTATATGTAGTGATGATGGATGGTGCAATATGTAGCGATGATGGATGATGTTATATGTTGTGATGATGGGTGGTGTTATATGTAGTGATGATGGATGATGTTATATGTAGTGCTGGTGGATATTGTTATAAGTAGTGATGATGGGTGGTGTTATATATAGTGATGATGGATGGTGTTATATGCAGTGATGATGGATGGTGTAATATGTAGCGATGATGGATGATGTTATATGTTGTGATGATGGGTGGTGTTATATGTAGTGACGATTAGACAATAAAATAATAACAGTTTAATGCTAAAAAAATATACTTTGCTGTACCGTTGTAGTGAAAAACATGGTGGAACTTACATACACCGTTAATGAACTATTGATTGAAGAAGAAGTTTTGGGGACTGAACATTGAGACAATGTGGAGCCTCCCGGATGGTGGCGTCCTACCGTTGCCTAGCGGATGAGCCGCCCGGAGAGCGGCGATTCTGCTTGTAGTAAATAAAGTTAATATTACATCACGACAGGAATTTCATATGACTCAAGAGTACTTGTGTCACTTTTGTTAAACAAACATCGCTTGGACACTACAAATGTTTCTTTTTCGTCTTGGCCGTCTTTAACAGAACCACACATCTCACTAAAGCGGTTAATGCTGCCACAGAAATATACAATGGAGCCATCCTGCTCTCCAAAATGAGCTCAAACTAGCTGAGCGAGCTGAGCGCTTGGCCAATGGTTCATTTCACCAGTGTGACCAGTGTGCGGATCGTACTATTGACTTATTGCCTGTGGATGAAATGCTATCGTGGATTTATTGCACGGAATATACCTAGTGTGACCGTAACTTTACTTTTCCTAGTCGTACTTGCTATGAGCGCAAACTCTTTGAATCACTGTAATGTGGTTCTCACATTGTTGTTATCTGTCTATTCACTTGCCCTCAACTTACAATCTAGTTCATGTCATGTAACTTCGTGCTTCGGCTGCTATTAATGTAAATTCATTGAGCACATTTATAATCACTGAATCGTAACATTTACAGGGGCAATTCTAGCGTGTGTTCACCCCCTTACCCTTCATCCTCAGCCTGTGTAACTATGAAGTGAGCTAGAACGGTAAAGTATTAGCCACTTTTTCCTTATCTAGAAAGTAGTTTATTGTATTTTTTTATTTAAGTTACGTAGATCTAGCTCAGCATCATCAAGTCCCACACGCATACACTCAAATATGCTGGTAATTGTCTCTTGTCTACATACTTTGTTTAGTTATTTGGTTTTCCATATTATTGTTTTGTGGCAATTCGAGAACATGGTCTTTCCAATAAAGTTTTCTTTGCCCCTGCTGCACTCTTAATATTTTCCACACATACACGTTCCTCCTCCTGCGACATTTCTCACCATCTCGGTATTTTTTGCTATTTTTAACCTAAATGCCTTTGACGCCAACACTTGTATCAACTCTTAACGCCCCTGATGATCCACATTGCACTGTGAGTAAGCCAAACACATCCAACCACCAAAGAAAATATTAGATATACTTTATTTCCCGAATATAAGAGTACACAAGCCTTATGCTAGCCGTCTCGATTTCAAAGGTAAATACGGCTCGCAGTCAAGATGGAAAGGACACATGTGTAGTTAACGACGACTTGGTTGGAAATGATCTGCACTGAATCAAGACAGCTGTATATCGCACAGCTGTTAGTTTTTAGATCACCACGATTAACACTTGCGAAAATATGCATAGCTTGAGGAACTTGATGAGTACCAAGGCTAACACTACCACTACGAAAAATTAACCCAACAATCTTTGTGAAACTACCACACTTACCCCAACACCATCAAACTTACTACATCCATCACACTTACCCCAACCCTTCCATCACTGATTAATTGATTGATTGAAACATTTTATTTAGCCAGAAAAATACAGATACAGTGTGGATAATAATAATATTAACATGGCTGAGCCAGTTGAGAACCTGAGCTCTCTTTGAGGCACCTGATATATACTATACATTTATCTCAAGGAAGTATTATGTAACATTTAGTATCATCTGGAATAGTACAATAGCATGGTGTTAATAAGAACATCTCATAATGTTACCACGGTTATCACTTCAGTATTTATTTATACATATACATATATATATATATATATATATATATATATATATATATATATATATATATATATATATATATATATATATATATATATATATATTTTATATATATTTCATGTAGATCCAATGAATGAAATGTGTTCGTTGTTTTTTCTCGTGATTTATCAATATATATATATATATATATATATATATATATATATATATATATATATATTTATATATATATATATATATATTTATATATATATATATATATATATATCTTGATAAAATCACACGGGAAAAATGGAAACAACGGAGCACCTTAGCTTTCGTCTTTATTCAAGACATCTTCAGAGGCAACTGGATTACATGGACAGAGAGAGGCTTAAATATACAGGGTGACCTTAAAAACATGAGGTCAGTCATAATGATGACATCCACGTTATTACAGCCTCTCATTATACTTATATGTTTTTAAAGTCCACTCTAATTTATATGTATATGTGTATGTGTATGAATGTGTGTATATATATATATATATATATATATATATATATATATATATATATATATATATATATATATATATATATATATATATATATATATATATATCTTGATAAAATCACACGGGAAAATGGAAACAACGGAGTACCTTAGCTTTCGTCTTTATTGTTTCCATTTTCCCGTGTGATTTTATCAAGATTTATCTTATCCACGTTTTCATTGTGGATTTACATGAAATATATATATATATATATATATATATATATATATATATATATATATATATATATATATATATATATATATATATATATACACACATTCATACACATACACATATACATATAAATTAGAGTGGACTTTAAAAACATAAGTATAATGGGGGAGCAGTACAACCTGAGTTGTACAGTAATAAGGTTGAACAAGAGGACAGAGCTGTCAGGATTATGTCTAGTTGGCAATTATGTTTATTGCAGTGGTAATTACTTATTTATTTACATGATAATTTCTGATAAAACGGATTTGGTGGTACAATAAAAGCAGGTATTGTAAATATAGTAAGTGTTACAAGAAATATTAATACTTCGACAATAGATATTTTTTTTAGAGATGATATAAAGGAAGGGAGCGTAGTCTGTGCTTGGATGTGTGGGGGTAAGTTGTTCCACACCTTCACACCGTGATAATTTATGGAGGTCTGGGACTGAGAGGAGTGCATAGGGGGTGGTCTTAGTAGCTTAAGTTGCCTTAAGTTGTATCTCTGATTATTCCGGAACTGGAAGTAAATACTGTCAAGCAAGTGATTGATAGATTTGTAAACAAAGAGGGCACAGCAGTAAGTGTTACTATCCTCGAATTTTAAAAATTTCAAAATAGGAAATTTTTCGTTTGTGTGATCTGTTTTTTCAAGTAGGTCATTGTCCGTACAACTCTCTTTTCTGCAGTAACCAGAGATAGTGTTTTTGAAGAGCCAGAGGCCTCCCATAGTGTGTGACAGTGTATCAGGTGTTGGTAAACAAGATCATGATAGATTTCTTTCATTGCTGTGAGAGTGAGTGACTGTCGAGTGTGATACATGATACCGCACTGTTTATTGATTTTACTGTGAATGGCTTGTATGTGGTTTCTCCAGTTAAGTTTCTCATCAACAAAAAATCCGAGGAATTTAGTATTTTGTTCGCGTTTGAGGACTATATTACCAAGGTATAGGGGGTTCAAATCTGGAGGCAAGTTTTTTTCTTCTGTGAAAGATCGTGTTGTGGGTTTTCTCAAGGTTTAAGGTCAGTTTATTACGTATTACCCAGGTCCCGACTTTAGTTAATTCAGTGTTCATAGTTCTCATCAAGGAATGGAGGTCTGAGTTGCTGGCATAGAGATTACTATCGTCTGCAAATAAGTTGGATTTTATGAGTGAGCTGGCGTGGACTATATCGTTTATGTACAACAAAAACAGTACTGGACCGAGAATCAAACCTTGGGGGACTCCATACAAGATTGGCGAGGAGTCAGATTGGTGGTTATTATAACAGACATACTGCATCCTGTTGGACAGATTTGAGGTAAACCAATTGTGGGACAGGCCCCTAACGCCGTAATGTTCAAGCTTTGAAAGGATGATGGTATGGTCGACAGTATCGAAGGCTTTAGAGAAGTCCAAGAATATACCGACTGTGAACTGACTGTCATCAAAAGAATTGAAGATGTTATTAGTAAAGGATAGCAGAGCACTCTCAGTCGACCTTCTAGCTCTAAATCCAAACTGGGAGTCTGTAAAGATGTTATTGGCATTGCAGAAGGAATTTAGTCTATTACATGCTAGCTTTTCCAGTATCTTACTCAAGGCTGGGAGGACTGATATGGGGCGGTAATTCTTGAAGAAACCTTTGTCCCCAGATTTTTTATATGCCGGGTGGACTTAAGCAATTTTCAGTTTATCAGGAAAGACACCACTAGTGAAGGAGGAGTTACAAATGTGTAGGAGAACAGGTAGTAATAAGTGGGCCACTTTTTTAATGATGCTCATTGGTATATTGTCTTCGCCTGCTGCTGCATCTTTGGACATTTTTATGATGGCCAGTAATTCATCTGCTGTGACAGGGGATAAGAATAGTTAATTTTGCTGTCTGTTTTGCAGGTAGGCTCTGAATTCCTCATGGTGATCAGGGATGCTCTCTGCAAGATTTTTGCCAACATTAATAAAATATTCATTGAAGTGGTTGGCAATGAGGGAGGGTTCCGCTGTAACTGAATTGTGACTGAATCGTTTATCCTACCATCGCCACCACATTTACGCCAACCCTACCATCACCTCCCTTAGCCTAACACTTCCTTGACCACCACACTAACCCCAATAATTCCATCATCACCGTATTTACCTCAGCCACATAATTATTATACTTAATTCAACACTTCCACTTAACCCAGCCTTCTTACATCCTGATTCTCTCCTCTTATGCAACACCCCTCCCCCACAGTGCAATATAAAGTATATACTGTACAGGGTGTTCCGCAAATACCGTTCATAAATCAGGGGGTGTATTCCTGAGACATTAATAAAGATAAATGACTAAATTACCAAATGGTCAATTCCCAATAGTTTCGGAGTTAGAGCACATTACAGGTTTGGTAGGAATGTGATGAAAACTACGGGACCTGTTTTATGGCCAACTCGGTCACTTGACATAAATCCCTTTGATTTCTACCTGTGGAGTCACATAAAATGCATGGTGTATGTTACGGAGGTCCCAAACAGTGAGGAATTGTGGCGCTGTGTG